CTTATCGAATGTGCTAGGACTCTGTTATTAGACTATAACCTGCCTAAGTTCTTCTGGGCAGAATCTGTTAACACTGCTTGTTACATCATCAATCGAGTCATAGTTTGAAAACTGTTAAACAAGACTCTGTATGAAATTTTGAAAGGAAAAACCACTAGAATTTCCTATTTTCACCCCTTTGGATGTCCCTGCTACACCCTAAATACTCGAGACCCACTTGGAAAATTTGATGCTAAGTCTGATCCAGCAACGTTTCTTGGGTATTCTTCTAAGGGTCAAGCCTACAGAGTACTTAATAAAAGAACTAGGAAAGTAGAGGAGTCAGTGCATGTAGTTTTTAATGAAACTAATCTGGTTACTCCAGATCCTACTATGATGAGTGATTTAAGTAAACTCACCACCTCCTGTCAAGCTTCTTACAGTGAACCTATCACTACAGTCAAAGGACCAATTTCTCAAGAGATTCCAGGTCAACCAGATGAAGAACTTGATGAGTCTGCTGAATTGCCAAAGACTCCACCACATATTCAAAAACGGCATCCTGAGAGTCAAATCATTGGAAAATTGAGTGATGGACTGCAAACTCGAGGTAAGTACACTCCTGGACAGTATGCTTTCGTGTCTCAAATTGAACCTAAAAACTTTAAGGAAGCATTAAATTATGAAGAATGGAGTATTGCAATGATTGAGGAACTCACTCAATATGAATACCTGCATGTCTGGGATCTTGTCCCTCGTCCTCCTAATGTTATTGTTATAGGAACTAAGTGGATATTTAGAAACAAATCTAATGAATTAGGGTACATTATAAGGAACAAAGCTAGGTTGGTGGCTCAAGGGTATCTTTAAGAAGAGGGCATCGACTATGATGAAACCTTTGCCCCAGTAGCTAGGATCGAATCTATTAGATTGTTGTGTTCTTTTGCTAGTCACATGGGTTTCCCTTTATATCAAATGGATGTCAAAAGCGCGTTCTTGAATGGTATCATTCAAGAAGAGGTTTATGTGTCTCAACCCCCTGGTTTTGTTGACTTTGAGCATCCTGATTATGTCTATATACTCAACAAAGCCTTATATGGTCTCAAACAAGCACCTAGGGCTTGGTTTGAACATCTTACTTCTTTTTTTATTGAGAATTCTTTCACTCAAGGGGGAATAGATAAAACTCTGTTTATTAAACAAGTGGATGGTAAAATTCTTCTTGTACAAATCTATGTGGACGATATAGTCTTTGGATCTACAGATCCATCTCTTTGCACTGACTTTTGTGACACTATGCAATCTATTTTCGAAATGAGCATGATGGGGGAGCTTAAATTTTTCCTTGGTCTTCAGGTTAAGCAAACTTCCTCAGATATTTTTATTAATCAATCCAAGTATCTTCAGAATATGCTTAATAAGTTCGGTTTTAATAACCTTAAATCTAGCAATACCCCAATGGTTGTTAACCTCAAGTTAGGTCGGGATGAAATAGGGGTTTCTGTAGATGAAAAGAAGTATAGAGGCATGATTGGATCACTGCTCTATCTCACTGCTAGTAGACCAGATATTCAGTATAGTGTATGCATATGTGCTCGATTCCAGTCAGCCCCTAAGGAGAGTCATCTAACAGCAATACAAAGGATTTTTAGATACTTAAAAGGGACTCATGAGTTTGGTTTATGGTACCCCACACACAATAATTTCTCACTAATAGGCTATAGTGATTCAGATTTTGCGGGTAGCCTAACTTATAGGAAAAGCACTACTGGTACTTGTCAGTTCGTAGGGACGTCTTTAGTGTCTTGGTCCTGTAAAAAGCAAGGTGATGTTGCCCTCTCCACTACCGAGGCCGAATATATTGCCGCAGGCAGTTGCTGTACTTAACTCATTTGGCTTAAAAACCAGCTTAGGGATTATAATGTGATTGCTAGGTCCATACCTCTCCTATGTGATAATCCTAGTGCCATTTGTATGGCAAAAAATCCGGTCCAGCATTCAAGAACTAAACATATTGAGGTTAAGTATCACTTCATTAGAGATTTAGTTCAGCAGAATACTATCACAATTAGCCACATTCGTACGGAATATCAATTAGCGGATCTGTTTACCAAAGCTTTGAATGCTGATCGATTTACCTTCCTTTGTTACGAAATAGGGCTGAGATCTCCAGGTAATCTGGAAGATCTTTCCTGATTTCTCGTCTGCTTTGCTGCTCTGTTTTAATTTTCTTATTTTGCTGTATTTATTTTCTTTCCGTGTTTTGTGACTTGCTTCTTTGAATTCTTCCTGTTATTAGCTCATAGTTCTCTATTTAAGTCTGCAGTGACGTTCACTGGGTCAGCAGTGACGACTCTGACAATGATGATTCTGATGACCCGCCGCTGGCGACTGTCTTAGCTGATCTCAGGGATGCTTATAATTATGATTGAATCTCTCTGTTCTGCTAAACCGTTTTAGCTTTGATGGGTTTCGTAGCTTTGTTTGTCTGGCTATTTTGTTAGGTCGCTAAACCTATTTGTTTTTTCCCTTGCTGTGTTAGACTGGACTGGTTTGCTGGATGTGTTGTTTTACCAGCTGATATTTAGACGTTTTTGCACCTTTCGGACTTGTGTGCATGGCTGCTCTATATTGCTATATCTTGGGAAGAGTATATTTGTTTTGCAGGGATCAATCGGACAATCAACAATCTCTAACTTAGGGGAAGATTGTTGGATTGAAAGATTTCAATCAAATCAAGTCAGAGATTGCTCTTTCTGAAAAGGAAGAGTCAAAGAAAATTAAGCCAAAATCCAGGGGGAGCTGATCAATGGAATCCTAAACCTTCCCTCACTGGAACGATTCGAAAGACAGGACTACAACAACTATCTTCTTAAAGAACTATTTAAAGGAAGCCCAGAGACCATTTTATGTACTGATTCTGGGATTCTTTGTGGAATAGGGCAAGGGGTTGGGGAATAGACAGTGTCTTTGATCGCAACTAAGGAATATGTTTAGTCGATCAAAAGTGTAGTGAATTCCTGTGCGAATTCGTGTCTTGTTGCCATCGCTTTGATTTTCACATTTGTGTCTGTATTTGAGTCTTTATGTTCTTCTTTATAGAGTCAAGAAAATCAAAGTGTCTCTCGAAATAGTGTCTACTTTTCCGGGACGAGGAGTAACCCTGTGGTGAACCTCGTTAAAAATTCTGGTGTGTTCTTTATTTTCTGCACTTTCTTTTTGATCGTTTCCAGCTTCCCCTATTCTGCGTCTCTCTGGTTCTGGTCAACTTGGCTCAGAGAAGAAGAAGAACAATTTCTCTCTTTCTTCTTTGAGTAGAGATTCGGGCCTATACTGAAGTCAAGCCCAATATCTTTCCATTCTGATCTGCGGGCTTATCTTTAAATGGCCCAACCGAAACCAGCTCTTATGAGATGGGTTAAAATCATTTCGGTCTAATTAGGGTTGATTCGTTTGCTGACTTCTATCAGTCAAAATCCCTAATTGTTCTCGTCCCATTTCTGTTTCACGAAATCATTTCTCTCTTACAACAACAACATTGATCTATATGCTCTAAATAACCCAAACCTAAAATTATTTGAACTTGGCCGCCGCACCATGCATCTCCCTCACCCAACCCTACTAAATTATCAAACCCTAATAATTATAAAATTATAATTATACTAAACACATGACTTATATTGGATGTCCGATGCAATGATGATGATGGCTCGCAAATGGCAGCTTGGCAATGGTGGCAGGGGCTGTTTTTAGTAGGGGGCGGGAACAAATTTTATGGGAGGAGATTGGAAGAGAAAATTCAAGTAGGCGGCTCGTTAGAGAAAGGAGTTGGGAATGACAAAAATATTCCTCTGCAGTGTGCGGCTTGCGGAGCAGAGGCTGATGTGACAAAAAAATTTCCCTAACATTCCCTAATATTTATTTATATACTTTTTCTGGTGCAACAATTCATATTGCATAAGTTTTACTTAATATATGACGATTCAAAAGTGGTTTCTTGCCACATAGGTATTTGAAGGATTCACAAACTACTATGATTTTTTAAATATAAAATAATTAGAAAATCATATATATATATATATATTCCTTTATTGGTGTCATCAAATTTTTTTTTAATAGACAATAGACCAATGTTTGAAGAGTAACATATATGGTGCGTTGTTGAAACCGAAAACTATATGATAATTGTCAACTTCTTAACTACTCTTATAATAAACAAATTTAGATTGCACAAAATGATGTTTTCTTATAAAATTTACAAATGCTATGTTTTCTTCAAATCTCATAAATCCAAAAAATTTGTAGTTCATAAAATAAAATAGAGTAAGTGAAATGTCCTTGTTGGCAATGGTTATAACACTTATGTTTGAAAAATTATTAGCTACAACATTGGGTGGAGATACCACCTCCAACCATCCCGTGTCACTTTGTTATTGATGGGCTATATCGGCCACAATCCCATCTATTGGCATCCCTAAAATGGTAGACTCTCAACATGCAAACTTTAGGGTGCAATCTCCATGTACATTATTTTAGTAGACCCACTTAACTTGTAAGTTTTGTACCATAAAAAGAAGGAACAACTCTTTCTCAGCTCTCGTCCTTGCTAGTACTACAAAGGGAAAACTAACAACCTTTCTTCATCATGCATCAATTATTTATTCCTATTTATTGCCAATGCCAAACCCAAAACTAGTCATCAATATGTCATCATCTCATTAATCAGGTCATCATCGGTATCTTTTATTATTATAGTTCCTTGTTTCCAGACGGTAATTCTTAAGAATATACTAACTCTCATACCTCAACAAATCAGACCGTAGCAAATAATGAATATAGCGTAGCTGAGCCTCACAAAAACAAAAATAATTATATCTCCTTTACCATTTTCTATTTTTCCCGTAAACCCTCACAAAAACAAAATAAAAAAGGAGGGGAGAAGGAGAAACCGAAAACCAAAAGGAAATTGGAGAAAAACGCCTCCATATCCCATTCGAAAAAAGCAAACAACTTTCCCCGTTCACTGATTCTTCTTTTTAGCTCGAGCGGGGGGACCTCTGCCCTTCTCTCTACACTATTTTGGCTGTATTCACTATTCAGGAGAGCCCACTGTCCACTTCACTTAACCGGTCAGCTTCTGTTTCTTCTCCTTTTCTCTCTTTTCCTGCTATTTTGCTGGTGTTTGGCTTCAGGTTGCTCGAGGGTTTTGGGTTTAGTTTGTTCGATGATCAGCTTCGAATAGTCTTTCTGTGTTGAGGGAGTGATCATGGGATTTCGGATTCCGCTTTCTGTAAGCTTTGCTTTGTTTTGGGACATTATTCTCTTTTTTTGTGATTGTTTGTGGTGGGGTATTCTCTTAGTTATCGGTAATTTATATGTTACAGTGATGGTGTGTTTCCATGATCGCCTTAGCAATAATTTGTAGCTCACTCCCCTGTTCTTTAAAGGTTTGAAAGTTGCCGAATTTAGTTGTGTTTTTGTGGGTCGTCAATGGCGATCATCGTGTTTCTGTACTCCCCCGAGGCCCCGGTTGTTGGGTTATGCTTCCGCGGACTTTCGTTGTTCCGGGATTTTCTGAATTGCTTAGGTTTAGCTTTCTCCTTGAGGGTTTTACTTTTAGACCCCCTACGGTGGGTAAGTCCCTCTGACTTTCCTGGTTGATCTATTTCTTTGCTCTCTTCTTCTGGTGCTATGGAAGAATCAGAGATAAGAAATTCATGGCTTTTTGGGGGGGTTTCCTCCATGAAAAACTTGTTTGATCTCTTGAATGGCTAAAGAATGTGTATTACTTGCGAATCCCTCTTTCAGACAGATATCCTTGTTCTTACGGTGGAACCTCTTTTGCTTGTTAAACAGTAGTTTGTGAACCAACGAATTTCCCCTTTTCCTCTGAGAATGCCTGCAAGAACAAATGGCTCGTCATCTACTCGTGTCAATTGTTTGTGATGTGCGAAAGCGTATGAAAACGTCAGTATGTGATTATTGGGCCCTTGTATTTCACTTTGGCCTAGTTCTAGTGTTGCTTGTTTCAACAAGATGGATGAGAGTCTGACTGATGTAAGCGTTTACCACTGTACTTGCCAGCAGCCTTCTGGGCTTCTTTCTTGCTTTCTTTATGCTGTGTGGAAGAATCAATTGTCACCAAACCAGATCTCTTTTGGCATAGCTGGGATTTGATACTGAGCTATCTTTCTTGATGATACCCTTAGTCTCTAGATGTATTGATCTGGTGATCTTATTCTGTATATTGAAGCGGGTTGAAAAGTTTGGTTTTTCGTTTGTGATCCACCATAGACTCAAACCTGAGAGTAGTTAGTGTAGTATTTGCCTTGTTGAAGGGCCACCTTCTTCATACTTGTCTTCTGTAACATGTTTCTTGCTTTCTGCAACTTTCCTTGGCGGAGCGTCACTAAAAATGACTTTCCGAAACTGCTTTTGATGTGCAGATATTTATTCGATTAAGTAAGAGGTGAAGAGGCAGGAAATACATCCTTTTTTTACTAAAAAACGCACCATTGCAAAACAAGATGGAGGACAAAGTTACGAGTGTGACTTGGGTTGGTGGTATATACAGAAAGTTTGAAGCTTTGTGTATGGAGGCTGATGATATGATGCGCCAGGTATATTGCTCTTATATCTTATACTATCACTCACCCTTAGCCAGTCATTTTTCTTTTGCTAATGAGCTGTATAATCAACTATCGGGATACAGGAACTGTTTATAAATGTTGATTTACTTGTTTGGTGCAGGAAGCTCAAGCCTTCATAGAAAACCATCTACAAAGCGTGGGTGCTAATGTGAAGCAGTTTTGCTCGGAATTTGTACGAGATGTGCTTCCTGAGTCTTCTAATGAATCATCTACGGAAGTCAAGCAACATGATCTGGTCTTGAAGGAAGCTACTGATGCAGTTGCCTACATGAACTCTGAGTCAGCTGGTGAGGAAAAGCAACTTCAAATTCAGAAACACGACATGCTCCCAGAAAGGACCGATCTTGGGGAGTATGTATCCTGTAACAACCCATCTGTTGGGGTCACACTTCAAACTGAGTTGCCTTCGGCGTTGACCGTCGAAGAGAGCTATTATGAGGAGGAAACCCAACTTCAATGTGAGAAAAATAGTGTGACATCGGAGGACCCTTGCAAATCCAGAGTCTCCGATGATCTACTGGAGAGCCACTCTTCCTCGAATGATGTTCCATCTTCAGTAGCTGCTGAACTGGCAGACTCCAGTGAAGATGAGAGTTTGCATGTTGAACATGCTCCTTGTGAGCAAATCGGTAAGTTCATTCCCCTATACCTATCTTTTGATTGGACCTTTAATCTTCAACTTTCCATCAACTTCACCTTACTGACACTAACACTCTACTTTAGCTGCGGGAAACTCTACTGGTTGTTGCATTGATGGAACTTCGAGTTTGCTATCTCCCAATGGAGTCAAGCTTGACGAAAGCTGCATTGTAGTGGATGATGATTTAGAACTCTACATTCTTTCGAGTCAGGAAAGAAAACTCGAAAGTAGTCACTGGTCTTACAAGGTAATTCTCCGTTCCATGCTTTTGCATTTGCCACCCATTCAAAAAGCAAGGAGAGACTATCTAATCCCGTTGGCAATTTCTCTATTCCCCCTTATGGTTTGGCAGAAAAAGTTGAAGGAGGTTCTGGCCTTGGCATCGAAGTCAATGAAGCAGAATCGGAGAAACACGGATCCAGCAGCAGCTCGTTCGGAAGTTAGAGAAGTGGAAGAAGATGGTAATGAGGAGAACAGTGAATCAGACTGGGAAATCATCTGAGCAGTGTGTATTCTTCTTAAAATTTTAAACTTTTCTGGATGGAAAAATAAGGAATAACGAGTGTAGAGAGAGAGAGAGAGGGTGTTGAAGATGTAGCAATTTTGCGGTAAAACAACTGATTACTTTCTCTGTAACGTGGTGGAGGAGATGGCTTCTCAGTTCTTCTGCACTCTCCCACCAGCGTTTCGCTGTTACTTCACCGGCACTGCCGCACTGGGAAGGGTTGTAGGCATTGATATGTAGACGAGAGTTTCAATTGGTACAGGTAATATATAGTAGGATCATCTTAGTTTAAGCTGAGATTTAAAGCTTAATGGTTTCTCCTTGCATCCGGCAGCATCAGATCATCCTAACTATCAAACATATACATGAAAATCAATTGTTCATCCAAATTATCTTTTACATACCTAGACAACAGTAGAATTGCCTCTGGATTCGTATCCATACTCAATGTTTTAACCACACATGGGATGTTTTGTGCTTGCAAAGGATGAACCCTTTAGTATTGATGCTTGTTGAACTTGAATCAGCTACATTAAAATCCACATTACTTTCGAAAAAGTTAATCTCCTCACAATGTGTTTTGTGAGTAGATACTCACAGACCCACAGATCTGCCGAGCCGAGAGGAGGGAGACGGGCTCACTTAAATTAGCCGTTGTGAGTTTTTTTACCCAAGCTGAGTAAAGGAATGGAGCCGACGGGTTGGCTTGATGAGTGGCGAAATATTGTGCGGGAATTGAGAGAAAGAAGAACGAAATTGGAGAAGTGGCTTGCAACCCTAGTAAGGGCTGCCCGCTGAGGGCCCATGGGCCGAAGGCTCATGAAACAGACATTTGGGCCCAACTACTTTGTTGATTGGTGAATTTTTGGGCGGGATTTTGAGAGCAGAAGAAGATTTGGTGGATATTTGTGCATGGGAAGACAATTCTCTTCACCATCTCCGTTCGTTCTTCTTGGTCATTTAGGAAGTGCCCGTATACTACCGGGTCGTTTGCTTGAGGGTTTTGGTGATGGATTTGGTCATGAAAATCTATCCATCATGGACTTTGACGGAAATCCATCGTTTGCCTTAGGGAATTAGGGAGATGGAATTTGTGGGTCCCGCCACTTTTGGGGTTCCAAATCCGTGGACCCCACGGACTTGGAAGTTCCACCTCTTGAGGTGGGATTTGGATGATGGATTAAAATCCATGATGGTAAATTACCTTTCTACCCTTACTTATTACTTTAATTACAAAGTTGTCCTACTTTAATTCAATGGTCATGCAATTATAAACTTTTATAATGTCGTATTTTATATATATGAGAATTTTTCATTTTGTTTTGTAATATCATAGTTTATTTAAATATGAATGTATATGTGATTTGTTAGATTCAACTATAAACATCTTATGCTCATCTTGTGCATTATTATTTGATTGATTGTCGGATTCCAAAATCGGGGAGTTAGCAAGAAGTTGATGAGTTGTAGCAATAAAGCGAGCAATTGGTTGCAATTGATACATAATATTGCGTACATTATTAGATGAGTTGTTAATTAGTGCCAAAATATAATACATTTCTATATTTGTAGTTGAATTATTAGTCCACATAGTGGTAAAGAGTTTAAAATTTCATTGTATGCGTTGGATTTTTTTAATGAAATTTATGGATTATAATATAGAAATATAATTAGATAAGATAAGGGTAACAAGGTAATTTGAATTTCATATCCACAAATCTATTCAAACAAAATCTATAATCAAATCCAACAAGCAAACAATAGACTTGGTCAAATCCATAATGCCACCAAATCCATCATATATCCATGGTTTTCCAAAACCCAAGTTTTACCAAAACCCTCATTTTTCAAATCCATGAAGCAAACGACCCGTACAAGTACTTGGCTATGCACCCAACTTTTACGCTTCAATGACAGTAAATGGCAACGGGTAAGCTTGCCCTTCAGAGTTTCCACGATAAAGTTGTCACTGTAAAACACAAATGAAAACCAGGTTAGTAGCCATGAATTGGACTGATTGAAATTGGCGATTAAATAAGGAAACATGACAACTTACTTGTCTTTAGCTGTGATACTGAAGATGAACTCAACCACTTGCAGAGCCGTAACGTCGAGTTTCGTGGACAGAGTTTTTGGCAAAACATACACTGATGAGTCGAATGGGTGGTATTTTGACCTCTCGAATGTAGGAGTTTTTAGAGTTGCCTTCCATGCTTCTGGTGTGATAGAGTACATAAACTCTGCCTCCTCCTCAGTCCTAGCCCTCTCACTTATGATAATATCATCGTCGCTATCCTCCATCCTCTTACATGTTGCTGTTATAAGCTCCCCCTCTGATGGTCCTGCTTCTCCTTGCGTCAGAACCTTAGTAGAAGGATCGACCACCATAGTCGGAGATGTTGTGATACTCTCCTGAGCAGTAGCAGTTGCCTCGACAGGTATCTGCAAAAAATTGCCAAAGGTATGACCATCGTCCCAGGCTTGTATCCATAGGATAAGAAACATATATCCTGACAGCCCAGGCTAGTATCCACTGAAAAAGAAACAAATATCCTGGCAGCCCAGGCTAGTATCCAATGAATAAGAAACAAATATCCAAGAAGCCTAGGCTAGTATCCACAGAAAAATAAACAAATATCCAGGCAGCCCAGACTAGTATAAAAAAAAGAAACAAATATCCAGGCAACCCAGGCTATTATCCAAAGAAAAAGAAACAAATATCATGGCAGCCTAGGCCAGTATCTACTGGCAAAGGAAATATTACCGTAGTCGGGAATGTCCCGATACTCTCTTCAGCAACAACAGCGGTCTAGAGAGTGCATCACATTCTCGAATGTCCTATCTGGGCCGGCATAATGTATAACCATAGGCTGGACAATTGACTCCGACTCCACCACTTGACCAAAAGTCGACTCCATATGCTGAACTACCGGATCAAACACAATGGCCGGCGACTCCATCTCCCAAACTACCGAATCAACAACAGCATCCAGAACCACCTCAGTAGCTACAACTTGCGCTGACTCCACCTCCACTTCAGCATTCGAGTTAACAACAAAGACCTCAACATCAAGCTCGACAACTGGCTCTAACTCCACCTCCACATCAGTAGTCAACTTAACAACAAGCACCTCCACCCAATGCACTCAAAAGCGCGAATCTACCTAGAAGCGGTTGGGTGACCTAAAAGCGTAAAACCGTAAGCTTTTAAGTTTTAGAACGTAGATTTTGACTACATTTGTAAGGGAAAATCATGATTCTACGTAGAAGCATTTTGGTGACCCAAAAAGGTAAAAGCGTAAGCTTTTCAGTTTAAAAGCGCGATTTTGACTGCATTGCCTCCACCTCATGCTCGACAACTGACTCTCAACCACCTCAGTAGCGACAACTGGATCTGACTCCACCTCCACATCCACCTCAGCACTCGACTTAACAACAGGCACCTCCACCTCAAGCTCGAGAACAGGCAACACTGTCTTCTCACGTATTCTCCTAGAGTACACGCGGCTGAACATATTCTTGCCTTTCACGTATCCCTCCTTTTCCATCCTCACTTTGGTCGCAGATACCAAAGTCGAAGACAATTTCGCCAATCTGCCCCTCTTCCTTCTTCGTTTTGATCGCTGAAAAAACACGTGCAAGCACATTAAATTATTATCCAAACTATCAGAGTAATATCCAACCATGAAGCACCTATTATCTAGACAGCATAGAGTAATATCCAAACATAAGGCACCTGTTATCAAGACAGGACAGAGTAATATCCAAACATAAAGCAACTGTTATCTAGACAACATAGAGTAATATCCAAACATGAAGCACCTGTTATCCAAAAAGCACAAAGTAGTATCTAACCCTGTAGTAGCTATTATCCAATGCATTCATTTCAATATCCACGACAAGCAAACTCGGATCTCATCATTCGATACAGAAAACCAATTTTTCTTCGATGCAATCATGAAAGAAATAGTATCCAGAACGAACAATACATAAAAGTAACAGATCCTTAACAACTAAACAAACTTTTGTTCAGACATTCCAACATGGCAATTATAACATCATAACAAGAACATTACAACCACTTAAACAGAAGAAAATTGCCAAGTTCAATTGTTTCCTTGATGACGCATAATGACGAATCTCCAGATACTATCCCGCCTTGATTCCCATACATCCATCACTTTTTCAGTCAATGACTCCAATGCCATAAGCTACACATATATTGGGGAAAAAAATTAGTTCACTACATGCACCCATGTCTATTAACCCACGATTTTGAGATGCAAAGAGAAGATCTACATACCTCATCGTCCTCAAGGGTTTCCAAGTCAACATCCGCCCACCAATTAGTAGGAGCCGAGCTGCTTGATCCTGATTCCCAATCCCTCCTGACACGCTCTGGACGAAAGCGAGATCTCACTTCTTCCCTTGACAACAACATGGGGACCCATGATATATTTGTTAGCTACCTTGGGGATATTCGAGCACACCTTATCCACCCTTGGGTCGAACCAATAGCTGCAGGTCGGAATGATTTTTGTGGCCAACCCTCTCACATTAAGGAAGTCTAGAAAATGGATCTACAAAAAAGCGTTCAAAACAGATATCATGAATGAAAAGAACTAATATCCCAAGAATGGTTATTAATATCACAAGCATACAAAAAAGATATCAGGAATGAAAAGAACTACTATCCTACGTATGGTTACTAATATCACATGCATTCAAAACAAATATCAGGAATGAAAAGAACTACTATCCTCAGCATGATGATTATTATCCCTAGAAGCTAACTAATATCAAGCATCAAATAAACAATATCAACAATGTTAAAGGAGAAGTTACCATCAAGAAGTGGATATCTCCAAGAGGCCATTGATGTTTCCCACCCGTCCTAGATTCAGCTGCGTTTTCCTTAACCCGACACAACTCAAACTTCAGATTACGGGCAACAAAACCACTCCAATTAAAAGTGGCAATGTCCTCCACCTTTCCAACCATGTACTCTGCATAATCGAGATCACAAAGTCGTGACATCTTTGGGGCGAGCATCGAACCAAGATCCCGCAACAAAAATTGCTTCACCGCGTCTGCAATAGGTGGTCTCCTCTTTGGTGCATCATCTAGACCACCACAAGCTGCCTCTCTAAGATCCATAACTTGTACATTTCGACTACGAGTACACTTCATGTTGAGCTCCTCCTTGAACATCTCAAGCATCTTGTCGTTAGACTTGACGACATCAATCTCAGCACCACCAATAGGCAGCCCATATACACGAGCAACATCCTCAGCTTCGATGGTAAGCACCTTCTTGTTATCCCCTTCACCGAAAATGAATTAATTGGTGCGCAAGTCGTACTGTGCCATCAAGGAATCGAACAACTTCTTAGGAACATTTCCCAGATGAAGCTCCAATAGCCCTCCAAATCTAGCCTTCTCGACCTCTTTCTTGCATGCTTCATAGTACCTTGGCTCTTCCTTCCAGTATTTTATAACATCTAGCAGAGATTTGGTGTGGCACTGAAATCTATACCATGGCTTGCCTTGTTGATTACTCGATATTTGCACATGTTTTCCCCTGTGTTTCTTGATCGTTTGAGCTTTAATTATCACATCTTTGGCCTATTTTACGCTAGGTTGTGTTCCTTTGTCATATTTCAGGTCCTAGTACATAAAGTGAAGCATAGGCGCAAGTTTCAAGTCAATCAGAGATCAATTGGCGATTCGGGAGCAGAAACTCGGGCATGAACTGAAGAAGAATGGATTTCTACCTCACTTTATGGACAAAGAATCATGCAAGCTTGTCATGAAAAGAAAGAGGACGAGACTATGAGCGTCTGAGATCAAACGGCGACTGATTCGGAGTCCGGACGAGGGAGAAACGAAGCATTGAATATAGGGGAACAGGTTCGGCAGTAAAAACACGGGCGCGCCTAAATCAAAACACGGCCGTGCCCATATTTAGGCACGACCGTGTTTTGGCCAACGCGCCCGGGCGTGTTTTTAACACGGGGGCAAAACACGGGCGGGCAAAACCAAAGCACGGCCGTGCCCGCGACCGTGTTTTGCCCAGAATCGGGTTTTTTAACCCAAATTCGAGCCAAAGGAGAGGGAGAGCTGGGTTTTGGATCCCAAACACCCAAGGGACGAACCAAAGAGAGAGGGGGCGATTTGAGGGCATTCTTGGAGTGGAATTGGAGGATTTCTTTGCTTTGGAAGCTCGAGGAATAAGCCCGGACTTGAAGACTGATCACCTGAAGATTCTTACTGCAGTCTCTCTCTTCTCTATGGAGTAACTTCCCTTCACTTAGGTTTTGAGGAACCCTGTTTGTTTGATTGGATGACTGTATGAGTACTCTTACTTGATAATCTTGAGTTCATATTCAATCTATGCATGTTTTCATGATTCAATTCTGCTTTAGTCGAGATTATTGATTCTGCTTTGATCCTATGAGAGCGAATACCTGATTAGGTCAATAGAGCACCATAGACTGATAGTATTGGATCGACTGCTTTAGTCGAGGGTTGATTCACTGCTTTGTATCAATTGAGAACCTCTTTCGATAGAGGGAGTCTAGTTCAGAACGCCTTGATCGGTTGTTCTAGAGAAGGATACGTCCCTCTAGGCAATTGACTCAAGAGGGCCTTGTTACTTTAGTCGAGACTCAAGGTCTAGTCAAGGATTCTCCGCATTGTGAATGAAAGTGAAACAGGTTAGAGATAATCAATCATTAATCTGGCTAGTGGCTAGGGGGAATCATACCTAAGTGAGTTCCCAACCTGTAATTAGATTAACTTTAACTGTACTTTGCTAGAGTAGTTTTAGTCCTTCCATCTTAATCTGGTTTGCTAGATAATGAACTGAAGCTGAGTAATAGTAACTCTAGAGACCCGTGGATTCGATATTTATTACTTGAGCCACTATACTGCAGTCCCTTTCATTGGTTACACTTGGCCATTGTTAGGAGTTGTGTCATAGCGAGTCACTTGTCCTAGAATGTGAACTCCTTGTGCAGATACTTGCGCTTCGACTTCAACATCTTCTTCTTCCTCATCTTCCTCTGGCCATGGCGGTGATGATGGCGATGGATTCTGTTGCTGTCTCTTCGCGTTCTTTTTAGTTCTTGTCATTGATAAATCGCTGCATGGACAAATATCCAGATATATCAAACAACTATCCAGGCAATTCACAACTGATATTATGCTCGAACAAAACCAATATCAATGTAGGAATATCCATATCCTCTCAAACAATTATCCAGGCAAGTCACAACTGATATCATGCTGGACCAAAACCAATATCAAGATATATCAAAGAAACAATCCAAGCAAAATACAACGGATATCCAGAATCAAAATAAATAATAATACTGTCCGAACAGAATTAATATTAGAACGCACACAAAACATTTTATAACATGTAGCAGAGATTTAGTGTGACAGCGAAATCTGTACCTCGCCTTGCTTCGACCTCGAGCTGCTCCTTGTGCAGCTCTTTCTGCTTTGAATTCAGCATCTTCTTCTTCCTCATCTTCCTCTGGTTGTGGCGGTGGTGGAGTCGGTCGCGGTTTCCTCTTGGTTGTTTTAGTCCTTTCCATTGATAAATCCTTGCACAGACAAATACCCAGATCCTATCAAACAACTATCCAGGAAAGTCACAACTGATATCATGCTCGAACAAAACCAATATCAAGATATATCAAACAACAATCCAAGCAATTAAACAACGAATATCTAGAATATAAAGGATTAATATCATGCCGAACATAACTAATATCGGAATGAACACAAAGCAATTCCACAAAACCCAGAAATAAAATTCACAAAAGAATGAACTCAGATCCAGTCAAATCCAAGTTACAGAAAAAAATACCTCACCCACGAACCCAAAAGACAAATCGAAAAAAGAACGAACTCAAATCCAGTCAAATCTAAGTTACCAGAAAACAAATACTTCACCCACGAACCCAAAAGACAAATTCATAAAAGGAAAACCTGGATCAAGTCGTAGCCATGAAATATGGGTAGGCAACCGGTTCGGTAAACCTGAACCGAACCGAATTCAAACCGAACCGAAACTGAAATATTGTTGTTCGGTTCGAAATTTGAAATAAGAATAGGTATACTTCGGAAACCAGGTTCCTCTCAACTGAAACCGAATTCCGATCACCGAACCGAACAACCGATTGCACATAACCACCCACATATCATACCTCACCCCCTCATGCCTTATAGCCTCACCTCAACTGGGCCTCGGCCCAAACATCTCACCCACACACAGCCCACACTCCCTACTAACCCTAAGGAAATAAAGAAAGAAACATGCAGTAGGAAAGCTCTCCAACTGTCGCCGCTCTCCTACCCTCTTGCTCTGTCACCTCTAATTCCAGCCTCTTGCTCGCTGCTCCTGGATTCTTCTCCTTTCCATTCTCTTCATTCGCCTGTCCTCACCCTCCATTTAAAGTTTAAACCCACAAAATCAACAATAAAAAAACAAATATCAGATTAGCAAGCATAGAAAAAAATCGAATCAAACAAAAAGACAAAAAATGTTGAATCAAACTTACCCAGGAGGAGAGTTCCGGATCTGCTCCTGCTGATCATGGCCGTGCATGTGTCGTCGGTGGCCTCTGCCGCCTTCACCCTCCCCTCCCGTTGTCCATCTCCATAACCATCTTTCGTCCCTCCCTGAGATAAAAAAACCCAAGTCCAACCATAAATACCACATGCATAAGAGGGAGAAGAAATAAGTCGTGAGTGTCTGAGGAGGGGAACTGAAGACCCTTTTCCGAGAGGAGAAAGCGAAGAAGAAGGAAAATCGAGGAGGTGGAATGAGAAAGAGTCTCGGAGACGGAGGAGCCATCGCTGCTGTTGCGTTGTGATATGAGTCAAGAGAGAGAAAGAGATTAATTTGAGGCTCTGATTATTCTGAGGAGAAAAGGGAAACGGGAAGATAAGATAAGCAGGGGAGAGAGAGAGAGTTGCCTTATATATATTCTCGGTTATGGTCTTAAAACCGAACAGAGCTGTAATTCGGTTCGGATGTACCGAACGAATTATAGCTCGGTTCGAATTCGGTTGGGGTGCTGGTTAAATCGGAAATTCGGCATGTCCTAGTTCGGTTTGGTTTAAACCGAACCGACCGAATGCCCACCCCAACCATGAAACCCTAACTCAAATCTGTCCAAACTAAAATGAATATCCATGAACAAAGTATAAATAAGACGGTTACCTAAGTCAACGAAGTAGTTCTTTCTTCAACGACCGTCGTCAAACCAACCGCCTCTGCTTCGTCGCCGTGAAACCCCACCCTTTGTCGCCGCTGATTCGTCTTCTACGTCGCCGCCTTCAAAACAAGCCTGTCGCCGCCATCGCTACGCTGCACTGTCGCCGCCGCTTCGCTGCTCCGTCACCGCCGGTTCGTCTGCTTCGTTGCTGCTTCGTCTGCGTTCGGGAGAGGAGGAAAGCGAGAGAGAGGGGGGAAAATTGACTGGCGGAGAAAATGACCTAGGGCAGGGTTTTGAACCAAAAAATATTTGGATTTTTGAATTTGTGGGTCCGGCGGGTCCCGCTTTCACTCGTGGGCTTGGGCTAGCCGATACACTCAGCTCTCCTCCCTGACAAGCCAGCGCCAGATCCTGCCTTGCCCTCGTGGATATCAAATCCGCCGTTTGAGTATATACTCACAATTTATACTGTGAGTAGCATAACTAAGTTGCATTACTTTGAAGTTCGAACCCTTTGTGACATTATTACAACTATTGGGAAATTAGATGTGGCACTATAAATTGGGTTAGACAACTGGGATACTGGAATCGGGAGAGACGTGAAGGAGAGGCCGACTCTTGGCACCCGATTCATGGATTGAGCGAGTCGACGACTGGGATATGTGGAGAAGCTTCAACGGCTGGGTCGACGAGGTCGGAACCCTAGACAAGAAGGGACGAAGTTAATGGAATGGAAGAGAATACAATGGACAGCAGTATGATATCTAGGTATAAGAGGATAAATTTTTTGTTTTAATTTAAAACATGGTGTGGATTTAAATGACGCGACGAGTCTAATTGAACATGACGTGTCGTATAGGTAGCATATACATCCCAACATCCCCTCAACTGTCAGGACCGTTGAGGCATTGACGATGTTAATACATTTGACGAAAAGTGTTAAATTTGTCAACAACCTTAAAAATGTGGCCACTTGGTGCATTTTTAAAAAATTGACTATTGCTGCCAAATAGTAGATAATTATAACTATCTAGGTATATTATGGCTCTTAGAAACGTTGGGAGCGTTGACGAGTTCAAGCTTCAAGGCACTGGTCCAAACTCTGGCTACCGCCAAAAAACCAAGCTCAAACTAACCGACAGATGATGAGGATTGGGAATATGATTTCCCCAGTTCTTGGGCTGATTCCATTAATTTCCCAATTCCCCCTGGGTCAGAAATTCAAGTGCTTTTGCGTATTTTATACGAAAAAGATTAATACATTTGGCCATTTGGGTTCAGTGGTCTGAAATTCGCGGGAACGATGGCGGAGGGTTGGTTGGGACCCTCCGTAGCCAAGGGCGCTTCTTCCCTTCTCTTCCACACTCCCAACGTTCCTGCTCCCTTCTCTTCTTCCTCCGCGAGCAGTTCTAGGTCAGCTCTCAGACAGCCGAGATCCGTCTCCATGGCGGCTTCAGCGTCTCAAACCCAATTATCCCCCAACTCCTCCTCAGAAATCTCCAGCCCTAGGCCTACTCAGCCATCTCTTCTCGTCTTCTCCGGTGCGCCTCTTTCGAATTCGAGTTCTTATTCAGACACCCTTTCCATTTCGTTTCATTCTAAGGCATTTCTAGCGATGTGAAATTTTCAAGCTTTCCCTACTGCTGGCAGGTGGTACAGCGTTTAATGGCGTTGTGGAGGAGCTCAAGAAGTTGACAACTCGAGTGACTCATGTTCTTCCCGTCTCCGACGATGGAGGCAGTACAGCCGAGATTGTTCGTGTACTTGGTAATCTCCTCGCTCTAGCCTTATTGCTTTCTCTATATCCCTACAATTTTATGAGTCTTGAATTGATAACTTGGTAGATGAGTTTGGTGGTATTATTTTCTTTGTTAAGGCGAGTAGAGGAGATGATGGGCTGCTGATTATGTGTTAGGTGGTCCTGCTGTTGGAGACATTAGGTCGAGATGTTTGAGGCTGTCTGATCAAAGCACGGTCGAGGCTCTGGCTGTTCGTAGTCTGCTTGGTCATAGACTACCTCTTGATGCACACGAAGCCAAGTCAGAATGGTAAGAGATTCATATCCAGCTGATGTGTCTTCATTTATCAGCTTTGTTGATTCTTCTATGGTGGGGGAAGGGCTAGAGAATTGCGACCCTGGATTTAGGCCAAGAATGAGAAACTAGAGAACAGCCGTTGTAACCATTTTTTTCCTTTCATGCTAATTAGAAAACTAAGGTTTTGTCAGCATTCTTCTGCTTTACCTTCTGATTGAAGTACATGATTTTACTTGCAGTTTCATTATGTTTTGCGGTCAAAAGTTAAGGCAGATTATGATTTCATTCGATATTGTCTCTTAAGCTAATCATAAGTTGATATGGTAACTTTATGGCTTTACTCAGTTTTTCTTTGTTCACGAGATGGGCTTGATCAGAGAGGGCTGAATTCTGGGAATTTCAGGTATAGCATTGTGGAAGGAAAACATGATCTATGGAATGGGTTATCTAGACCATATAGTGAAACTATCCGAGCCTTTCTAGTGTATTTCCAAAATGAGGTATGCAGAATTTATAACTGTGTGCCTCGTGTTCCTGGCCTTTGATTTGTCAAGAACTTGGTCATTGAATGTCTAGAAAATTCTTTTTTTTTTCTCAAGTAAATGAAACTTCCACCACAATGTAAGGAAACAATCGGATTCTGTTCAATAACTTCTTGATAAATCCGTGACAAAAAAAAAAAAAAATATGGGAGAACCAAAATCGTGAAGTCTCTAAAAGGTGGTTGTTAACTGTTAACTTCCCTGTATTTCTTTTCTACTCAGATTATGCGAAGGCCCAATGAAGCATTTTGCTTCAGTAATGGCAGGTACTCAACCAATTTGCATGCACTTAAGTACTTGGAATCTTTGTGCCCTAAGTATTGTGAAAAACTACATGATCAAACCTTGTAGCCAATTATTTGGAAACTGGAATACATGATTGAACAGGCCTGTGCAAGTACTCTGTTGTTTTCATTGCAGTATTTCCAATTCATAGGGTGACTGACAAATCTGATTAGTGAGTCTTTTATCTTGCTATCTAATACAAACTGACTGCCACCTTTTTGCAGCATTGGGAATTTCTTCTTTGCAGGAGCACGCATATTTTTTCAGTCTCTAGATGCTGCTATATTTTTGTTTTCACGTGTTTCAGATATTCCATCAGAAAGTTTGGTCCTTCCTGTGATCTCCACAAATGACAGGCTTACGTTAGGATGTGAATTATGGGTATTCCAATGCGCATTGTTATTGAAATATGGCAGATATTATGCAACTGATTTTCAGTTGCTATAATCTCACTTGGCCTGTGGCTCTGCTTTGGTTTATTCTCCATTTCAACCTACTCTTTCTATGTCCATCAGAATGGAACTATTATACGAGGGCAAAATGAAATTTCTCATCCAACCAATGGCTCTATGCAACCCATTGACAAGGTATCACTGTGTAGCTTAAAGCTATAAGCCCTATTGTTCTCTTTGGAGGTGATGATGGTTTGACTGGTAGTTGAAGGAAAACTATATGGAGAAACCTTCTGATGTAGGACTTGTTTTCTCGTGTAGGGATGTTGTTCAGCACTTCCATCAAGGATAAAGCGTGTATTCTATATGTCAAGTGAAGGTGGGAATTCACTTCATGAGGTAAGCAAATTCATCTGTGCTTTATATTTTTATAAATGGGCTAAGGTTGCGCTTGCTTTAAGCATTACAGTGAGATTATCCTCCTCAGATGCTGAATTGCTCTCTAGTCTCTAACTATATTGTTTCTGGTTGGCCAGGTCTTCCCCACGGTAAATGCTACTGTACTGGACCAACTGAGCACAGTGGATTGCATTGTATATGCAATGGGATCCCTCTTTACTTCAGTTTGCCCATCACTGGTAACATTCTGAAATGTCCATTTGTCTCTTTGACATAGTGATTCACCTCTATTGTTTCTGTTGGAGATGTTAAGAACCATGTTATTTTTCTACGTTTTCGGTGGTTGATATATATTCCTCGACTCAAGGAAAATTGGTAAATCTTTGTAGCTCTTGCCTTATGTTCAGGTTTTACGCGGCGTTGGAGAGAATATTGCTTCAAGGACCTGCCCCAAGGTAATGATTTTCAGACAGCTAGTTAAGTCGTCCCACTTAAGTTGATACAATGGTATATTAAACCCTACAGCCATTGCATACTTTGGTGACCCTATCATTGCCATGATACCGAACTGAATAACTGATGGAGGTATCTTCTAAATGTTTTAGGTTCTTATGTTGAATGGTACACATGATCGCGAGACAATTGGGTTTTCTGCTTCCAGCTTTGTGACTGCAATCGCTGATGCCTTAAATCGCAGATATGGAGATCCTCACAATTGTCTACGGTACTCTGTAAGCGGCATATTAAGACAGATCCCTCTTTTGGATTCTCATTTTGTTTTGCTGAGATTTGGGAACGTGCTGCTGTTTTTTGAAAGGCCTCGTCTTTCTTGTGAGCAGGAAAGCCAATATGTGAACACCCTTCTAGTGCCCAAAGGTGGTGCCATTCCCATAGACCTTCATTCCTTGAATGCTCAAGGGATCTTTGACGTGGTACGTGTATTTTCCGGATGCAGAATATGACTTTCCTTGTCTCTCAGTAATCATTTTGCTCATATTGAAATGCATTACGTTCCTTTTCCCCTGTTTTGGGTGGGCAGATTGTTGTTGATTCAGTCGAGGATCCGAAAGTGGGCATAATATTTGATCCAGCATCGTTGATCAATGCCCTAGCTGATTTGATAGGAAGGCATATGAGCTCAAACGTGAAGGTTTAACTAAACCGGTTGTAGCTAGGAAGCCAGAGTAAGCATCTTCTGCTCCGTTTTGGGACGTTTGGGAGGTACAAATTCCATTATGATGCAACTCTGCCATTTTCCCATTGAGTTGGCCGATTTGAAGATGCGAATAGCGAACTGTGGCCTGGATAGACGAAAAGAAGGATTCCCAGGCAGGCGAAGTTCAGAAATGGGTCATCCTGGGAAGATCAAATAGCATGGAGGCCATTGATGCTGCTACCCAGGATAACAGGCTGTTGTCAAGTCAAGACCGTAGATAATATATTCTTGTTGTAGAATTACCGACTTTGGATTATCTGCATTTCATTACATGAACTGTTGATTGAAATAGAGTGTACCGTCATGTTTACACACACTAGCCAGTGGTTTTGACCCATTGCGGCAAGAGGATATGAAGCTACCATGGTGAAGAGGATATGAACCTACTCGTTATCTCATTGGACTTCAACATATGTTTCATTCAATAAGCAAATAATACAGTAGCATCCAAGGCCTCTGAGAAATTTGATCTTGGAGCAAAAAACAGCAACGGGAGGATTCATAAAAGGAACCATGAACAATGAGTTGTGGAGTCGAAATACAAGTACAGGGAAATCTCAATCACCTCTGTTCCGCCCAGCCGAGCAAACAACAGCAGAATTCAGGGTTTAGGAAGCTTTGCCACTGTTAGGATTCGACTTGGTGCAGAGGACCCATCGTCCCTTCGCCCGTCGCCGCTTCAGAATCGCCCTCCCGCTAGTCGTTCTCATTCTTCGCCGGAACCCATGAGTCCTCGCCAGAGACTTCCTTGACCTGTTCCTCTTCGTCAGGCAAAGCGCAGCCTTCCCTGCTCTCACCACCAGTCCGCCGCCCCGCTTTCTTGATTCCCCGCCGGAGCTCAAACCCACAGTTCCCAGAGACAGACCTAAAAAGGACATTTTCCACCATTCGACACAATTAGCCGACGGAGAAATTCAGAGAGGAGAGACTCAGTTGACGACGCACGTACCTGAGAAGGAAGAAGAGAAGGAGGAAGTAGGAGAGGAGAGGAAAGAGCAGTGCAGCAGGCCGGAGCGAGACGTGGAGCTGGCATTCATGGAGAAATTCCTCCTGGATGTGGTGCCGGTGGAGAGGGAGAGAGAAGCGGAGACGCCTCCACGAGGAGAGGATTGAGCGGTTCTGCACGGCGGCATCCATGCCGGCGACGACATTATGGTGACGGCAGCTGCCATGGCCTTTTTTTCTTGTCTTGGTTCTTTAGCTTTCTCCTTTTCGTTATCCTGATAAGGCTGAGGAAGTGAAGTCGCGAAGGGGACGATGAGTAAGAAAGAAGAGCAGAGGTGAGGTGAGGTGGAGGTGGAGCCCGTGGGATTTTGTGGATCGGTTAATCCGTACTAGGAGTTGGATCGGATCCGCTTTTAAGACAAAGCCTGCATGGTAGCCCACAGGCTCAACCCACGAAGAGCGGGGTTGAGGACGTGAGGTAAATTGAATCGGATCTGCTTTGAAATGGGCCAAGCCTGCTTGGGAACCCACTCGAAATGATTTTGCAAAACTTTTAGGTTATCTTGTCCAATAGGGTTCACCATCAGAGGTATTACGGTGCTTGATGATAGGTTGAATTAATTGATTTTGGAGTACGAAACTATACCATATCTGTTGATGTTACTTGAATCGGATTATTTGTTCAGGTTTGACATGTCTTCAACAAAGCCTTTTAATACTCTTAGTGTTTCAAATATTGATCTATCTTCAGTTTATGCACCGTAGTCAGAGGCTGAGAGAAGTACATGTTGAGAGTCTCATATGCTAGTGCAGTTGGTAGTTTGATGTACGCTATGATATGCACTAGACCTGATCTTTCACGTGCTGTTAGTATTATCAGCAGGTTCATGATACAACCTGTGAAGAGGATCTTCCGGTACCTTAAGGGTACGTCGGATGTGGGGATTAGTTTTGAAAGTGATACGAAGTGCTTAGTGGGTGGTTGTTTAGATTCTGACTATGATGGAGATGTTGACACGAGAAGATCGATGACCGATTATGTATTCACTCTTGGGAGTTCTGTAGTGAGCTGGAAGACAACTCTGCAGTCGACAGTGACATTGTCTACTACTGAAGCAGAATACATGGCATTGATAGAAGCTGCTAATGAGGGAATATGGTTGAAGGGGATGGTTGGTGATATGGGTCTACAACGTGATCAGGCAGTGGTGTATTGTGATAGTTTGAGTGCAATATGTTTGGCCAAGGATCAAGTCCACCATGAGAGGACTAAGCACATCGATGAGGTATCATTTCTTGAGAAACAGAGAAGAGGATTAAGGTGAACAAGGTCGACACCGCCAATAATCCTGCTGACATGTTCACGAAGCCAGTACCACATGGCAAGTTCCAACACTACTTGGACTTGCTGAATGTCTTGAGTGGGTGGACATTGATGGAAGGAGGGAGAGAATGATCAGAGTACATAAGAGATTTGAGAGGAAGAAGATTCAAGTCAAGGTGGAGATTTGTTGATGTAACTTGAACATGACTATCTGGCACTACAACTGGATGTCAGGGGGGTCCAAAGGGAACGCCCCCGGTCTACGGTTATTATACACAATGTTGTTTGGGTTCGTGTTGTGGGTCTGGTCTGTAACTGTTTTTCCTTTACCCTATTGGATTAGGGTTAGACTTTGGAGAAGTACTATAAATACTTCTCATACTCCTCTGTAATCTGCATCTCCTCGAAGTATAGTTAAACTAGCCCTCTCTTGCCCGTGGACTAGCTAACACACATTGTATTAGTGAAACAACGTAAATCGTGTGTGGTGTGTGTGCTTTCGTTTTCTTACATTGTCAAATCCTCCAATTTTTCGATCTGTAGAGAATCAGTCGTGACACTAACCCTTAATAAGTAAACTATAACCCTAATTATCTAAAAGTCTAAACCATAAACCCTTAGATGCCGCGTCTAATATGTTGGATATATTTTGATTAATAAGAATTCATGATTATTATATATAATAAAATTGATTTTAGGGTATATAATTTAGAGAATTAGAATCTAATTTCTACTAATTAAGACTAGATTTGAGCCCGCCCGTTGGCCGGATGAATTTCGTTAATAGTATAAATAACCATAGAAATTATCCGACGTAAGATATGTTTTATTTTATACCATAAAAAATTTGAATCATTTAGTAACTGGAGACAATATCATACTCGTATAATATTTGAACATGATAAACCAATTTATTGCTAAAGTCCTTATTGCAAGTAAAAAACAAAACCATGCAAGAAAATCTACTCCTAAAAATGTAATCAAAACACACTATTTGCTCTTCGAATTAACAAATTATTGTAAATGTCATTTTAGATTTCGTGTGATCGCTACATCCTCCAAACCACCATTATATCTACAAATTCCAATGCATTTTTCTTTCCTTATGAAACCTTTATCTTCACACTAAAAATTATACACGATAGAATTTCTGTCGCATGAACATTTTATGATATTTATTCTTTCTCATGCTGATAAACAACCCAGCAACCAACACAAATATTGATACTCTTTAGATTGAAAAATTAATGAATAAACTTAGGGATTGAGTACTCTCCAATAGATATGTTGTTTTTTTCTTCTTATAAATATGCATATTTTATTGCTCAATTTGTATATAATAAATTAAGTGGGGAGTATCATGATCATTCTAAGTTAACTTTATGAAGATTGGGAGCTTGGTCAAAGTCTAGTGAGCAAGGCGAGAACCCAAAATTGATGGTGGGGATGTAATTAGGAATTGTCATATAGATAGGGTACCATTTTAGAAAAATGACACCCTTATTAATTATAGTTATTTTCTGAATTAAATTCGTGTTGTATTTAATAATCTTTGAAAATTAAAAACGCATCTTAATTACATTTCTTTTTTTAACTACCATTGCAATGATACAACTACCATTGCACATGTATACTGAACTCATATTAATTACGTCCCTTTTTTGAAATTATCATTGCACTGATACATCTACCATTACACATGTACACTAATATCATTGCACTGATACATCTATCATGACACATGGTCACTTGGACCCCGATCGGAGAAAAAGACCTGGTCACCGGAACACACAAAGGCGAACCTGCGTTGACAGTCTCAGAGAACCTCAAGACAAAGCTGTGCATCCCGTGGCAGCGTACGCTGGTGGTTCGAGCTATCGGCCTCAGAATCTCGTATACGACGTTCAACAACAGGATTCGAGCTCTTTGGAGACCTTCTCAACCTATGGAAGTCTGGGGACATGGCCCGGATTGCTTTCTAGTGAAGATGGGGAGCGAGATGGACTACCTCAGAGCTTTAACGGAAGGGCCGTGGACCATTTTTGATCACTACCTAATTGTTCAGCAGTGGACTCCAACGTTCAGGCTGTCCGAGAAACTCCCGAAATCTATGGTAGTATGGGTCCAGTTCCCAGCATTCCCGGTTCACTTCTATCACAAGGACATTCTTTTCTCTCTGGGGAACATGCTTGGGAGGGAGATTAAACTGGATTATCATACATTACATCAAGAAAGGGCAAAGTTTGCCAGAATTGCGGTGGAAGTCGATTTGTCTAAACCGCTGATCCCCAGGGTGTGGCTCGACGGGGCCTGGCAATACGTGGAATATGAGAATATTCCGGTGGTATGCTTTGAATGCGGTAAGGTGGGACATACTTCAGAGAACTGCCCGTCATTTTGCCGTTCTCGACAACCGGACGGCGACAGCGCCTCCATCTAACCGACGACGATCCCGACGGTGACCGGAGAAGATAATGAAGAAAAGGAAGGTTTTGGCCCTTGGATGCAAGTTACCCGTAAAACTAGACGGGGAAACAAATCGGTGGAAAAAGGAAACAATCCCATCACCCATGGGACAAGCTCCCAAATTAGCGCCAACACAGCTTCAGGAAAGGGGGGAAAGAGCGGCAACTCCGCTAGCGACTCGGAAAATAAAAAAGGGAAAGCTATCTCGCCAAAATTGGGGAATGGTCCAAGAATCATGGAAAAAAGGGAGGAGTATCTGAGAAGGATTCCTCCAGAATGGCGAAACAGAAAGGGAAAGGGCTCTTAAAGGAAGACTACAATACCGTTATGGAGAGGGATAGGAGTATTTTGGGCCCCCGGCCTTCTTCCCGAAGCACAGATACTGGTGGGTCGTCCGGGTCTAACGAGCCGCTCCTACCGAGCCCAGTCATGACCTCTTCACCCACTTACCAGGATCAAGCCTTGCCATCAACGGTCAGGACAGGGCCACTAATTTCCCCCCCCCCCCAGCCCGCAAATTATTAAGCCCAAATGGTACTTCCATCCAAATTATTGAGGTGGAACAGCCTGCCCTCTCCCAGCGCAAAAAGCTCGAAACCGAAACTCCTTCCGCAGCGAAGAGAACCAAACGCCAGAAGAACTGGAAATCGCCCAAGGAAAACTCCGGAGTATTGATGCCGCAGGCAAAGAAAGCCCTTCAAATCTGGTCGCCGGCGAAGGACAAGAAGAGGAAAGCGAGGACAAAAACAGCGGTTCTCACCCTCCAGGAGATAGATGCTTGGACAAGCGTTGCAAATGTTAAGGCTAGCGGAGAGCCTGCATCGCTAAGTTCGATGGCTGAGGCGATGCCAAAGGATAGTTCTGAGGGCCTATCCCCTATCGCACCGGAACGTGAGCAATGAGAGCAGTCCTGTGATCATCTCCCCCACCTCTCCTTCCCTGTTAACCCCCATGTCTATGGTTAATAATCAGCATTTTTTCAAAATTTGTGCGTGGAATATTGGTGGAGCCAAAGGGAATGAAGCGAACCGGTCGCTTAAGTTGTTGATCCAGATCCATATACCTGATTTTCTCATCCTTATTGAGCCGCAGATCAGTAGCGGGTCAGCGGATCGAGTTTGTGAGAGACTGGGGTACCCTAATGTGATAAGAGTTGAGGCGGTTGGGAGAAGAGGGGGGATTTGGCTCTGTTGGAACAGGGATACTTTTGAGGTCGGGATTCAATCAGCTAGCTTCCAGCACCTTACTGTTAAGGTAATGAGCGCCGGAGTGAACCCTTGGCTTCTCACAGCAGTTTATGCTTCCCCCCAACATCAGCTCCAACATGATCTCTGGAACCGCATCAACGAAACGAATGCTGCCAATGAACTTCCTTGGATCCTGACTGGTGATTTTAACGCCATTCGCCATCCTGATGAAAAGACTGGGCAAAGTTCTACTGCCACCATCAGAAGATGCCGCATCTTTAACAGTCGGATTAACCAAGCGAACCATATTGATCTTGGGTTCTCTGGCCCGAGATTCACCTGGACGAGAGGTAGCGATCAGCACTCTTTCAAGGCCAGCCGAATCGACCGGAGTTTATGTAACGGGGCGTGGAACCAGACGTTCCCGGATACCTTGGTCACTCACCTTCCCCGACTTCACTCGGACCACCACTCGCTGCTCACTGTTATTGGTAGCCAAGGTGCTCAACAAGCCACGAGCAGAAGTTTCCGGTTTGAGGCAGCTTGGACCATGCACGAATCCTATGCCGACCTTGTAGCTGAGGGCTGGGACGACTCATTGCTGCTGCCCGAGGCGCTGAAGCAGCTGTCCACGAAGCTCAAAAGCTGGAATTCGACCACTTTTGGCCACATTTTCCAAAAGAAGAAGAGGCTGCTAAAGCGGATCGATGGGATCCAAACGCAGATGGGACAAGCCTTCAGCCCAGGACTTGCGAAGCTGCAGGCGAAGCTTGAGATGGAACTTGATCAGATTCTCACCCAGGAGGAGCTGTTTTGGTACCAAAGATCAAGGGAGAAGTGGGTTCAGTTTGGGGAGAGAAATACCGCTTTCTTCCACCAACTTGCTAACATTCGCAAGAGACGTAATAAAATCGCGGGGCTGAAGAAAAGCTCGGGGGAATGGACCTCGGACCCGGGGGAAATGGCCAGAATGGTCTTTGACTTCTTCTCTGCTCTCTACACTCAAGACAACCATGATTATGTGGGTTTGATGCCTAAAGATTGCTTCCCCCGAGTTAACCATGAGGACCTTCTCCAGCTCCTCCGGCCTTTCGGAGGTGCAGAAATTCATCAAGCGATCCATGACATGAAGCCTCTCCAAGCTCCAGGACCAGATGGGTTCCAAGCCTACTTCTACCAAAAGTCTTGGGCGACGGTGGGCAGAGCTTTGATTAAGATGGCGGTTGACTTCTTCTCCTCAGGGAAACTCCCTCAGAATGTCACGGAATCCACAGGGGTGTTGATACCCAAAGTGGAGCACCCGGAAATGGTCTCTCAGCTAAGACCCATCTCCCTCAATAATGTTTGCCTCAAAGCCATCACGAAGGCAATTACGACCAGACTGAAGCCTATCATGAGGACTCTGGTGTCACCCCGGCAAAGCAGTTTCATTCCGGGGCGTCAAACTACTGACAATATTATTGTTTTGCAGGAAATTCTCCATCACCTTCGGAAAAAGAAAGGGAAGAAAGGGGGAATAGTTCTCAAGATCGACCTTGAGAAAGCCTATGACCGACTGCGGTGGGACTTTCTCCGTGATACTCTGATGGAAGTGGGACTCCCGAGCTCTTGGATTAACTGCATTATGTACTGTGAGGAACAGAACAGTATGCGGCTTCTGTGGAACGGAGAGCTATCCGAGCCTATCACTCCGTCTCGAGGAGTCAGACAGGGGGACCCCCTCTCCCCCTATCTTTTTGTTTTGTGTATGGAAAGGCTTTCGCACAGGATTGATCAGGCGATTAGGGAAAAGAGTTGGACTCCGATTACTCTATCTCCCGGAGGCCCAGCCCTTTCTCACCTGTTTTTTGCTGATGATCTGGTTCTGTTTGCAGGGGCAGAGACGTCACAAATCAGGACCATTAAGAAATGCCTAGACGAATTCTGCTCCAGCTCTGGTCAGAGGGTAAATTACAACAAATCGGCAATTTTCATCTCGCCCAACATTGACCGGCGACGGGCTAGGAGAATGAGCAGACAGGCTGAGATTCCTCTGACGGTTGACCTGGGGCGTTACCTTGGTGTCGGAGCTATCCACGGGAGAGTGACGAGGGCGCGGTACCAAGATCTCATCCTTAGGATCCAGCGGAAGTTGGCGCCTTGGAAAGCAAAGCAGCTCTCCCTGGCAGCTCGCCTGACAGTAATCAAATCGGTAGCAGCCTCTATTCCTATTTATCTGATGCATACAGAACTCCTTCCGGTTAATGTTTGCAGGAGTTTAGATAAGATCAATCGGGACTTCCTTTGGGGCGACTCCGACGAAAAGAAGAGGTTGCATCTAGTTGCCTGGCCCCAGGTAACTCAGCCAAGGAGTAGTGGCGGCTTGGGTATCCGGCCCACGAGACCAGTCAACCTGTCTATGTTGGCTAAAGGGAGCTGCGTATCGTCAATGACAGGGACAGCCTTTGGTGCCAGATGATGCGGGCGAAGTATGGGAAAAAGAAGGAGCATCTCGATATCCTACAACGCCGTCAGGGAAGTTCTTTTGCTTGGTCTAGTTTCATTAAAGCCGCTGATCTTGTTAAACAAGGAGCGGCTTGGAACATTCATAGAGGCAACCGTGTTCGTTTTTGGTCTGATGTTTGGGTTTCGCAGGTCCCTCTTGCGGAGTTGACAACGCATCCCGTGCCGGAGGAGGAGCTCGACCTCAAAGTTGCGAATTTCGTGGACGAAGAAGGGAGATGGTTAACCCATAAATTCAGCGACCTTCTTCACCCTGAAACTCAGCAGCTGATCACGACTTATGCGGTGGACCCTTTGGCGACTAATGAGGACTCTCTCTTTTGGCGTCCGACTTCCAACGGACAGTTCTCCGTAAAGAGCGCCTACAACCTTTTAAGGCCTGCTCCCCAAAATGGCGATCGTGACCTGTGGAATAAGATTTGGAAGCTGCCTGTTCCGGAGCGTGTCAGGACTTTTATTTGGCTGGTCGTGGTGGGGAGAATCAGCTCAAATGAAACCCGCTGTGGGAGACACCTTGCTACGTCTGCCGATTGCTACAGATGTCCCGGCTCTACGGAGAACATAGACCACATCTTCCGTCAATGCCCACCGGCGGCGTTCTTTTGGAACCGAACGGTACCTGCCGCGAAGCAAGCTGATTTCTTCTCGGCGACTACCCAGCAATGGTTAAGCCAAAATATCAGGGACGAGGACCATTCTGCGACAGGCATTCCTTGGAATGGCTTTTTCAGCATTGCCATTTGACTGATGTGGAAGAATAGAAATGAGGGATCCTTCAAAGGCTTAAACAAGACTATGTCGGCGCCGTCCCTCACCAACGCGATCAAGGTAAAGGCCCGGCTTCGGTATGATGCGTGGACTGCTCCTTAAGGTCGGGCTTGGTCGAGGAACGCAGGCCCCTCAGAGAATTCAGGCGGAAATTGGGTGGAAACAGCCTCCCTCTGGTTGGACGAAATTAAATGTGGATGGAGCTTCTAACCGGCATCCGGGAGCTGCTGGAGCGGGCGGGGTCTTGAGGGGTTGTGATAGTCGGTGGATCGGCGGGTTCTGTGCGAGTTTAGGATCCTGTTCTGCTGTTATGGCAGAATTATGGGGTATTTTTCATGGATTGGATTTTGCTTGGAAGCACGGCTGCCGCACGCTGCTTGTGGAATCAGATTCGAGATCGGCTATTGATTTGGTGAACAACAGAACTGACCCTATACATCCCTGTGCGACTATTTTGGCAGCTATTCGAAGGAAGCTGGCTCAAGACTGGGTGGTTCGACTGTCTCATGTATACAGA